AGATGGAGGCTACATTCCTAACCTTTTCAGGAAAATAGGTTTCTCAAGTCCAGTAGCTGTTATCGCTCTTTCCAGTATAGATGGAGGCTACCTTCCCAACCTGTTTCAGAAAATACGTTTCGTAAGTCCAGTAGCTGTTATAGTTTTTTTCCATTTTGATGGAGATTTCCTTGTTAACCTTTTGTTTGAAGTGGTGGGCAATGTCAAAATATTGATTTCTTCTTGTATGTGCTATCTATTTTACTTGTTGTTGTTGAAAGTCTCCAGGGTTGCGTTCATATGAGTTGGAATAGTTCTTTTTTATGATTCTGTAGCGCCAAACAAAGGTTTGATGAAGCATGGCCCTAACTAAAACCTACAACCTTCGTTCACTCAAAGTCTTCTGTAATCATTTTTCTGAGAAAGTGGTCATATAAAGTTGACAGTTTACAGATTATAAATTAATTAAATAACCCATATTGTGATGATGATAGATAATGTTGTGATAAAAACATATTATAGATCAATTTGCGTCCGTGAGTGCATTGTCATTTACGGGAGGTTGTAAATGTCTCCGTAAATATTATAATAACACCGTATTTTTTATCCAAACTCTCTACTGAAACATTGACTTCAACACAACTGAACTAAACTAATAGTTCATTTTCAACTGGCCAGAGTGAGAGCCAATAGCTGGCTGCCACGAATAGGCAGGAAGATTCTATTGGCCAGCTTGAGAACCAATAGCTGACTGACACGAATTTTAACTAGCATTTAACTAAAAATTCGATAGCTTCATTCGTCACAAGTGGGAAAAATTTAAGTCTGCATGGCACTTTACTCCAATTGGCTCATTCGCTTGCTTAAACTCAACGTTGATTCTGATTCCGCAGAACTGGGTTGGGTGTGAAAAAGTATTTGTTGTTAACATTCTTTTTTCATTCGGTTTTTCCAGTTACGACTCCTTTTTTAAAGCTGATCGTTTTGTGTTCATTTTGTTTAGTTCTTTTTTCGTAACAGATTTAATGTTTAGTATAGAGCTTAGGAAAAAATTCGCAGTGTGAAATAGGCAAGAAGTAAGGCATGTAGCAACATCAGCACGGCAAGGGGCACTCCTTTAAAGTCAAGGAAGGGCAAAAATATTTTAAGTCAAGTGATAGTGATTGCTGTATGAGTCGTACGATTTTTGAATCAAGCACGGGCAACGCCGGGCCATGCTGCTAGTATTCAATATTATAACACTGTGTAGGCCTCCATCGGTTACTGTTGACCATGGATAGCATCCTAGTTGTCTGCTTGGCTAAAGCATCGACGTCTGTGACTTTAGAGGCCGATGCGAGAGACAATCGCTGTTGCAGAGGTCGCATGTGTGTTTTGTCTCTGGTCTGTTGAAGCTGTC